GAACGATCCGGAGATCGGGGATAAGGACCTTGCCAAGTTTAAGCCGCTGAAGCTTGTTCTGTTCTCTGACGGTGTAGATGATATTGTGCAGAGCCTCCACTGTCCTTCCACCAGTCTTCGGAGAACGAAGCCCGGCCAGATCATGGCACAGCTTGTGTTCTCAAATAGCGCGCCCTACGCTGCGAAAGAGCTTGGGCACGCTATTGAACCGGGTTGGGTCGGTCCGGGTGGGAACCGCGCCATGGACGTGCTCGTGAATCTACTTGGTGGTACTGATGTACAACGTCTTAGTAGGGTGCTTGACCAGTCCGTACTACACTCGATGAAAGCCCCGGACTGGGACCCCGACCGGCACATATACATTGATGATACCACAATTGTGGTGTGCGAATTCAATTGAGTATGTATAGCCGTATGCACTCTCATGTAAATACCTGCTTTGTCGACTGCCTGCACTCGCTTAGAGCCGACACTTGTACTGCAAACTCTGTCCCTCTGATTCTTCCGTGTAGTACTTTATTTGAGAATGCTGTTGGCATACACGCCCCCGTTCTATGAGCTTCGCTGTGCTAGCCGGTCTCCGTAGCGTGAGGAAGCTCGACGGTGGCTCGATGTTAATGAATATGGTGAAGTGCGGATGCGGCCAAGGTGCTTGCAAGGTGCGACGGCGAGCACCGCTTATACAGTAAGCGGAGTCCAGCGACGCTGAGTCTGCCTAGGGGAGACTAGCACCGCTTGGATTCGAACACCGATCAACGCGTCTGTTCGCGGTGGGCGACCGCGGCACCACTCAAGTCCTTGCCTTTGACCATCACCTCGTCGCACCTAGTTCATTACGTTCGCGATGGCCGAAGTAGTTTCTGCACCTCCTATGGCGATGGAAGTCGACGGTCAAGCGCAAGTACCTGTTGAAGGCGCCCCGGTTGCCGCTCCTCCCGAACCGGCCCAGCCAGAAGCCCCAGCCGTACCAGAGTTTGTCTCGGAGACCCTTTACATTCAAAATTTGAACGAGAAGATCCGTATTCCTGGTATGTATTCATTCTTATATTCATTAGAGCACGTGCTTACGAATATTACCCAGTACTCAAACAGTCGCTACGTGCCCTTTTCAAGTCGTATGGAGAAGTACTCGACGTCGTCGCGCACGGAAATCTTCGCATGCGCGGTCAAGCTTTCGTGTCGTTCGCGTCTTCGGATATCGCGGCGAAGGCCTTGAAGGAGGTCAAGGGCTTCCCACTTTACTCGAAGCCGATGCAAATATCGTTCGCGCGCACGCGGAGCGACAAGGTCGTGGAGAAGCTCGATCCCAACAATCTCGACTCGCACAAGGAGAGGAGAAAGGAGCACAAGAGTACGACCATCACAATTACATTCCATATCTTTCTATCTGACGCGGCGTTCACAGACAATACTCGTTACACCAATCCGCTCAAGCAGAAGTTCAAGGCCAAGCGCCTTGCGACGGAGGGTATGCGCATTTGCTCTTTCCCAGTGTGTCAACTCGTGTTGATTGTTCGCCAGCGGATGGCGCCGCCGCGGCAGCTCCCAAGCGGCCGAACGTCCAGATGCCGGACGAATACCTGCCGCCGAACAAGATTCTGTTCCTACAAAACCTTCCCGAGACGGTCACCAAGGAGCAGCTCACCAACCTTTTCCAACAGTGCGTTCTCTTATTCCTGCCGTTCTCGTCTGCATTCCGGAAACCCACATTGCACGGCGTGGGCTCACTGCTTACAGATATCCGAACTTGTACGAAGTTCGTCTCATCCCGACGAAGAAGGACATCGCCTTCGTCGAGTATGTCGACGAGGGAAGTGCGACGGTCGCAAAGGACGCTCTGCACAACTACAAGTTGGATGGGGAGAACAAGATCAAGGTGCGTATATCTGACCATATTTGACCACCTGTCTTACTCACGCTTCGCTTAGATCACGTTCGCGAGGAAGTGAAAGTCGTACGTTCCTGTTTGTTGCTGTCTATGTAGTCTATCACTTTTGTACCTTACTTTCCCAATGCATTCCTGCGGTCATACAGGCCAAATACCCTGTTCGGCGGAAATTGCCTCTCGTCCACAAGCGCCTATAGGCGCCCAGAACTACATGTGACCGTGATAGATGTCTCACACGCGTCGACGGTCGCGTCGCGCGAACGCGCTTTTGCTTCCGCCCATCGGCGACGACCTACAGGAACATCGCTATACGCAACGCCTCGAGCAAACATACTACATACCGCCATCGGACTTTGGCGTACTCGCTGCTCACCTGACGCTCAGTCTAAAGCGCGCCTATCGTATCAACATCTGTCAACCCAGCGCCCTCTGTCTTCTATCACACTCACGCTGGCCCTGGTGGGATTCTTGCTTGCTCCTATAACATTGAGAAAACACGGCCTTGACAATTCAACGCTTCGTATCTCCCTTCTTGTCGGTTTTCGGCTACCAAATGAACACCTCTGATTCTGAGGTAAAGGGTTGTTGCACGGAATATGCGGGCTCTAACCCCGATCTAGGGCGAATACTGGAGGAGCGTCTCTCCCGTGGACCAGGCCTTCTTCGCAGCCAGTGACGGAGACACCGATGTAGAAGGTGAAAGGTTTCCGTCAATGCGTACAACCCTGGCTCACCTCTTCACTCCAGATAACCCACCTATCAATGCACAAACCAAACGACCAGCCAAGCCAGTGCCTGGACAGCGTGTGGATGATACACCACGTCCGAAGCGAACAGCAACAGGCACTTCAAACCAGCCAGCGCCGTCCCCGACCAAGACGCTGTCACAATCCATGCGCAACCTATCGATCACGCCCTTCGCGTCTATGAAGACAGAGCAAGCTCGGGCGTCTACCTCTAGCGCCCAGCTGACCCCTCCCGACTCACCGATCATGCCTGGTGCTCTGCCCAAGACTCCGAAGCTACCGAGCATAACACTGACCGATGATAGGTAAGCACTTGAGGCGGTATACTGCCAGGCTATACCGTTATACTGACATCAAGTTGCTCAGTCCTTCAGCGCCTGAAGTTGGCTCGCGCGCCCTGTCATTAACTGCCAGCGGCTTCTTGCCATACCCATCTCTTTCTCCAGAGATGCGAGCCCGGTCTCTGAAGCCTGCGTCCACTAACGGTACTATGAGCGGTACTCTGTCTGCCGAGTCCTCGTTTCGCTGGGACTCGGAGTCGATGCCATCGCCTACTTCCACCGTCTCGTTCCTGCCTTCTCGTGACACACGCGATAGCTACGACGATATCCTCAAAAACGCCCTCGACGAAGCCGATAAAGACATTATCGCACATCATCGTCGAGTCAAGGAGCTCGACAAGCGCCGTATTGGTTACGGCGTGCAGCTTGAGCTTGCGCGCGGGGTGCAACGCGGGAGGTGGTCTTGGGCGGATGTTACGCCTTCTCGTATGAACTTGCTGAGAGGGCCACATGCGAAGGTCATGCCCGAGATGAACAAGATCATGGATTGCGGGCATATCTACGACCCTGTGCATCATGCTGCACCACTCTGGTAGGCACCACAGCTCTCTACGAGCACAGCAGCGTATTGATACCGTTCAGGGAAGAGTTCGATCGCGAGCAGGCGGCGATTCTCGAGAACAAGGGACGCGGACTCGGTCTTCTCTCGGGCTCGTTCGAAGGCGCCGAAGACTGGTTCGGCGGGCGCATTCAGATTATTGCACGCCTTGACCGTCCCGGGTCGATGCAGCCACCTACCTTCGTACTCGAGCCGCCAGAGATGAAGCGCTCGTACGCGCTTGCGCGTGAGCTGGGATCGCGCCGACTCCTCGTACTCAAGACCGCGCCGCCTCCACCAGCCGACGCCACGCAGAAGCGCAAGCACTACGAGCCGCCGCTCGAGCTGTTCGCGAGGAAGTTCGTCTTGATGGGCCGTGTCTTCATCCCGTTCGACGCGAAGGATGGGCACGTATATGCTGTTGAAACGGATGAGGACTACGAGCGGGATCCTATACCGGATATAGGAGACGGACTGCGGCAGCCTTTTTGGGAGTTCATCAAGAAGCACAACCCTTTGGCGCTTAACTACCGACAGGCGCGTATGCTCTCCTACCTTGGATGTTCCTATTCTGAACAGGTGACTCGTCCAGGCGTTGAGTAAGTGGGCTACGAGGCTCGACATCGGACTATCCACGTCAATTCCTGTGCTTGAGTTTGACGAGGAGAACATCGACTACATCGAAGACGTCGGTACGCGCTCTCCCACAGATATCATTATGTCTGATGCCGATGAAACGTGCACGCTGTAGTCCCTGATGGTGTTAAGCCTGGTAGCAACGTGGCAATCGAACAGAAGATGACGGACGGTATCGGCTTCACGAACGGCACTGCCCTCTCAGCGATAGCCAGGCGCATACACCTTGCTAACCGGCCCGGCGCGGTTCAAGGTCGCATAGTAGGTAGCAAGGGTCTCTGGCTACTGCATCCCACCGACCGGTCTCTGGACGAGCCACCTCGCATATGGATCCGCCGCTCGCAGCAGAAGATCATCCTGCACGAGCTCAGCCGTACCGGCCGCATCTTCGCCCTCGTACAACCTT